GATACATAGGATCACTGGGAGACCTGGGGACATGACACTAGGGGACACTGGGAGACATGGGGCACTGAGACACTGATACATAGGAACACTGAGACCTGGAGTAATCGACACATGGGGGCACTGGGAGACATGGGGCCACTGGGAGGAATGCATCTATATTTTCTCTTATGTCACTCCTTGTGATTTACATCATGTGATGTCACCCATACATATTTAATTATGCAAATTAGCAAGGCGGTATGTTTTTCCAAAAAAGGTGGCAACCCTAACTACTTTTCACATACTCTTACTTAAGTATGGAAACTTACGAGGGATGTATGGGAACAAAACTTGTGTGGACTGGCTGACAATGAATATAGTTAAAGGGACACTAGAGTCACCAGAACAACTACATCTTATTGAATTTGTTCTGGTGAGTAGAATCATTACCGTCAGGCTTTTTGCTGTAAACACAGGGGGGGACTAGATGGTGGTGTTAACACTATAGGGTCATGAATTCATGTTTGTGTTCCTGACCCTATAGTGATCCTTTAACCCCTTAAGGACACATGACATGTGTGACATGTCATGATTCCCTTTTATTCCAGAAGTTTGGTCCTTAAGGGGTTAAAGGACCACTATAGTGCCAGGAAAACATACTTGCTTTCCTGGCACTTTAGTGCCCTGAGGGTGCCCCCACCCTCAGGGACCCCCTCCCGCCGGGCTCTGGGGAGAGGAAAGGGGTTAAACTTACCTTTTTTCCAGCACCGGGCAGGGAGCTCTCCTCCTCCTCTCCTCCTCCTCTCTGCCTCCCTCTTCGGCTGAATGCGCATGCGCGGCAGGAGCTGCGCGCGCATTCAGCCTGTCTCATAGGAAAGCATTTATAATGCTTTCCTGTGGATGCTGGCGTCTTCTCACTGTGATTTTCACAGTGAGAAGCACGCAAACGCCTCTAGCGGCTGTCAATGAGACAGCCACTAGAGGCTTTAGAGGCTGGATTAAACCATTTATAAACATAGCAGTTTCTCTGAAACTGCTATGTTTATAAAAAAAAAGGGTTAATCCTAGAGGGACCTGTCACCCAGACCACTTCATTAAGCTGAAGTGGTCTGGGTGCCTAGAGTGCATTTAAGGTAATGCTGACTTTGGTCTTTCTAACACTGTGGCATGTTCACTTTCTTCTACACTCACCACATACAGCTTTTCTCTGTCCCAAACTATATACCAGGGGCTTCTGCCTGCTAGTAAGAAGGTAAGGAGACTAGTGGACCAGCGAGTGCTAGGGGACAGTCCTTAGAAAGCGTTGAGCGAGCGCATCATTAGATGCATTTATGCCAAGCTCAGGGTGCTGTCTGCATAGTATGCACTTAGTTGGCCAGCTGCATGATTGGCAGGCAGCCTGACATGCATTCATACCAGGCTGGCCTTCTAATTCTTTGGGCAGACATATCCTCTTTTTGAGCATGTTCGCCCCTTTTGGCAGGTTACGTGATTTGTGTCAGTGGCACACCCTTTTACCGTGCCCATTGACTTTCTGCGTGACTGGTCGATATGATTCTGTAATTAGGCCCGTCATAATTGTCAGCACCAGGCCCACTGGGCTCTTAATCTGGCCCTGGGCGCCGCAGCCTGCCGACTTTGCCACTGCTCATGGTCTTTGTACATGTACTGCAGCGCTGGCAAGCCGCACGCGGCTCTAAGAAAAGGAGAGCGCGGGCGCTGCTCTGAAAAGAGCATTTAAGCGAGCTCCAGAAATCTAATTGGAGCGTCTGGTTGGTGTGCTGGGTTGGTGGTCCCACTCACTTCAGCTCGTCCATCTTGCAAACAGTACTTGGAATTTAACTTCTCCAGGTGCCCTGTCTGTCAATGCAGGGGAGGCAGGTCATGCATATGCATTCTCACAGGACTCTGCCCCCCTCCCCTTGCTTCTACCCTATACCTCCCACCCCCCGCCTGTGAGGGTTTGAAAGGTGAGTTTCACTTACCATTCTTCCCTCACTGAGCTGGTCTCACAACCACTGCTCCACCTCCCTACGTGAGATCATCAAGACTGATCATCAAGACTACGTGAGAATATCAAGATGATCTCAATGTTCCAATTGGGAGGCTAGTGAGCATGCGCCAATCAAATGCTCTCTATGGGTCTCTAGTGACTCTCAGGAAGACAGCCACTAGAAGTGTGAAATGCAATGTTTTACATTACAGGGTTAATGCTACAGGGCCACTGCAGGCAGACCACTTCATTGAGATTAAATAGTCTGGGTCCTTTAATGTTTCTTTAATAATTGAGTGATTCCTCATTTACATGATTTTACTCCTTTCCTATCATGAATGTCACCTATTCAGAGGTGTTAGAGGAAACAAACTGAGCTGTTGTCATTTCTAAATAAAGGAAGAATGTGCCCTGTCATATTGTAACAAACCACGAAGTTATGTGGAAATGACAGACATCGTAAACCTTTTCCATGGAATTGATTGCAGATTTGGAAGTCAGCCCAGACGCACCTATTCTCTCTGGGTAGTCCATTCGAGTAAATTGTGCAACCTTTGATGATGAGGTAGATAAGTGATGAATTGATGTTAAATGTAGACAGGAAAAAGAAAAGGACTGTATTCCAGTTAATAAACATATTTGTTTAGTATCACTGGAGGATGTAGACACCTGTTGAGGTTATCAATCTTTGTAGACCAGTAATGACAATAGAATGCAATGATGAGGGTCCATCTTGACATACCAGAGAAGGTCACAGTTAGGGAACTAAAGCGGTTCAACTTTATCAAAAGCATATTCAGAATTCATTAAAATAAGTTAAACAATAAAAGAAATGAACTGTGATTTGCCTTTTAACGTAAGGAATACTTCATTAAAAATGTTTTTAAAAAATAAGTTCTGAATTCAATAAAATGAAAAAGAGAATATAGTCTCACACATAAAGCACTTCAAAACGTTGAAGTGCTTTATGTATTTCGGATGTTTTTTTTAAAGCCATAAATAAGGAAGGTGTTACCATATGTCTTGTATCTTGATCCAATTGCTATATACAGGTGAAAGGTGCAATTATGTTTGCTGGATAGTAAATTCATTGCAAGGTGCCAGACAAAAGAGAGACCTGTATAACTTATAATTACATCCCACGCTGTGTGATGCACAATAATATATCATTTTTTTGAAATACTTAGCAGAAAGAAACGTCTTGCAGCTCTGAATCTCTTACAGACCGTTTATTTTGTATCTAATAATCAGTGAAGCCAAGGTTTGATTCAGAGTTCAAAATCAGTTTACAGAATATTCTGTGAGTTTATTGAATACAGAGAGGAACTGCTTCAAAAAAATACATCTGATAACGAGCGAGAATCAGATTAATGTTCTGCAACAGAAAAATGATAAAATGGAAATGGCTGTCTGAGAAACTGTTAGATCGAGACAATACAGATTGCTTATCGATGGTTTTACCAGCAAACAGGCTGTGTTTGAATGAGCGGAACTGAGCGAGAAAAACCCACGTTCTGACCTCATCAACAAAATATAGATATGTACCATGTGTGGAAAAGAGTATCATTTATAACACTCAAAATGTTTGTCGTATTGAATATTTGAGAAGAACAGTAAAGGCTTTAAAGGGTTTCTCCAACCCTGTATTGTTTAGTGGCATTATTATATTTATATAACCTACATTATATGTTTAGTCCCCCCACCAAAAATGCTCAAAGAGCATTTTTAAAATAAACTTTATTTACCTTTATTCTGCACCGAGTGTTGCTCAGCTCACACACGTCTGACGTCATAGGAGCCACACCAAGGTCCAATAAAAAAAAAAGTCTCTGATTGGATCTTGATTGGAACGGCAAAGGGAGGGGGACAGGAAAGAAATAGGAGTAGGCAGTGCAGGGAATTAAAGCACATTATGGATGGGATTAGGAGGGCTTCCCTCAATGTGGTTGGGAGGGAGGGGAGACAAGAGCTTCTCCCTTGCAGGCTTTGCCTACAAGGGAGAAGTAGTTACTCCTGTTACAGGTGTAGAGCGCGGACAACAGACGTATTTTTTGCACACAATTGACATTAGGAAGTTCAGGAAACTGTTCTCGGCAGTCTATGTCACGTGTGCTGGGTGCAACTAGCAAATAACTTCAAAAAGCAGAAGTGGTCATGGTGGTTTGAGTAATCCTTTAAGAGAACAGATTTTTTAGACATTCATAGTGTTCAGGGGTAGATCCAGTCTTGAAAGGGCAGATTACTATATTTAATTATCCATGTTTTAGGGGGGTGAGGGGTTTGCCATCAGGCAAATATTGTAAACTTTAAAAGAGTTGAATTAATTTTACTGCTTTAATATGCTACCATCATACAGAAAACATCTTATTGATCCAGAGGTATATTTTTATTATTTATAATTGTATTGAAAAAAGGGTTACTACAACCAAGAAACAAAAAAATAAGTGTTTATTATTCTAGAAAACACTGGTTTTGGTTGAAGAAACCCTTCCTAGCCTAATCCACCCCACCCCCCAAAAGAAAGTTAACAAAAGTAAAAAAAAAATAATAATTTATCTCACTTCTAATAATGCCCAAAGATGCAGCCGGAGGTAGAGTTACATCACCGGCACAAGAGGTGTTAATCTCCATATGTGTAAAGACTTCAGGCACCACATCCACTTCAAATCACTGAAGTGGTTGTGGTGTTTGGATTAACCCCTTACTTAAAGGCTGCTATTTCAGTCTATAACCCTGTTGTCGAACTCATGCTTTTCTTCTGTTAGCAAGAAACAAACATTAGCAGTTGGGATTCCAGCCAGGATATTTTTTTTGGTACTGAAAATAAACCACAGAAGATGTGTAATGTTTAGTAAATGGGTATAATTTAGAAAATTAAATCAAAAGAAGAAATGTTATAAAAGAAAAAATGGATCTCGTCAAATTACTACTGAGCTTGTGGTTTCTGTGGAATTTTGTTTTGTGATGTGGCTGAAACTCAGAAAGACCTTGGACACCCTCCCAATCGTAACAATAAACCCCAGAAAAATCAAGACCTCCACCAAGTGTAACAGAACATGAATAGCTGCATGGAAGCTGCCTTATCCATTCCATGGAAGCAGCCCAATCTGTTGCATGAAAGCAGCCCAATCCGTTCCATGGAAGCAGCCCGATCCGTTGCATGGAAGCTGCCTGATCCGTTCCATGAAAGCTGCCTGATCCGTTCCATGGAAGCTGCCTGATCCGTTGCATGGAAGCTGCCTGATCCGTTCCATGAAAGCTGCCTGATCTGTTCCATAGAAGCAGCCCTATCCGTTCCATGGAAGCTGCCTGATCCGTTCCATGGAAGCTGCCTGATCCGTTCCATGGAAGCAGCCTGATCCGTTCCATGGAAGCTGCCTGATCCGTTCCATGGAAGCAGCCTGATCCGTTCCATGGAAGCAGCCTGATCCGTTCCATGGAAGCTGCCTGATCCGTTCCATGGAAGCTGCCTGATCCGTTCCATGGAAGCAGCCTGATCCGTTCCATGGAAGCTGCCTGATCCGTTCCATGGAAGCAGCCTGATCCGTTCCATGGAAGCTGCCTGATCCGTTCCATGGAAGCTGCCTGATCCTTTCCATGGAAGCAGCCTGATCCATTCCATGGAAGCAGCCTGATTTAGATCGGTACAATAGAGGATGGCACATGCCAATAAAGTTTAGCAAGCCAATGCCAAACAGCTGAGGTCATCCTCTACAGTCAACATACAAAGAGGGATTCAAGGCTATTGTACCACAAGTAAAAAAGTAGAAAGAAGGGAAGGCACCTAGGTGACGAGAAACCCAACTGGAGTGTGTAAGCCGAACTTTCTAGGGGGTAACCCTTGTATATATACAGTATGATAGAAAAGTTTGTGATCCCAGGCTAAAGTAGCAACAGGAGCACTTAGGAGAAAGTTCTACAATGAACTATGCTACAAAATGATGTCTTTAAAATAACTTTATTGAGGGTATCTACTAAAAAGTATGATCCCAAATAAAAGAGACTATTGCAAAAAAAAACTTACTACACCATAACCACTAAAAAAGTATATGTGGGGAGTGGACTCAAACACCAACTATAGAAAGAAGAGCTGTAAAGATAGAAATCTGTAGCCTCAATGACTTGACAGAGTAGCCTAGATTGATAACCTGTCCTGAATAAAGACAGATATTGGTGATCTTAGTAATCAGATCCAAATTGGGAATGCTATTATGTTCTCATCTTTGTGGTCAAATAGATAGAAATACAAAATATGTCTGTATCTATCAAGTTGCCAGCTAGAAGGTAAGATACTGAAACAGTATCAAGGAGATAATGACTCCAAAAATGGAAACAGAAACAGAGTATCTCATCTGCCTAAAAACAAGTGACTGGTAGCCATGCACACAGCTATTGCCTGCAAAAAGTCAGGTTCGCAATCTGAAATAATAGTGTTGACACCTGTCACTGCTGGTATAAGGCAATCTCGTCTGTTCCTGTGAAAGAAAAAAGGATTCTACTCTCACAATCTGCTGCTAATCGTCTGCGGCTACTAACAGCTAATGTAACAAAATCCAAATGGTAAAGGGTCCATAGCCCCCACCCTGTGGTCACATCTAAGTGGTGAAAAGTAAAACAAAAAAAGACAAGGACCTAACGCACGTTTCGGCGCTCCCAAAGCGCCTTTGTCAAAGGTAAGCTTGATACTGTTCCTAGCTCCGTTTAAATATCCCTCCTATTCCTCCCCCAGCCAATCAGATCATGGGGCGTGTTCAGTCCGTGCGCCCAAATAATGCCGACGGCATGGAGCTGTCAGTCAACGTCTGTCACGCCCCGTGGGTGTAAACGGAGGTGCGTGTCTCCAGCCGTATCATGCTTAACATTCAGCATGTCGGCAAGGAGACAAAACCTCCCATATTATGCCGAACGTGTATAACGTTGTTTATAGTGAAAGGCAGCGCATCCGTCCTCACGAGAAGGAACCCCCCATGGCAAAATATGCATCTAGGACATCGATCTAGCAGATCTAGTACATACATATAAGTCCCAGACGCTCCAAAGGGGTAAATATAATGTATAAATAAGAAAAATAACAATTATACCGGTACAATTTGCTCTTTTAGACATGTGTCTAATTGAGCTGTCCTGGTGATCTAATTCATAAAGAAAAAACCCCAAAAGGACGTCCCTTTACATCATGGAAGGGTTCAAAAAATACAGATGTTGCCCCTGGTCTAGATTGAGTGAGGTGATAGGGGTGGATTACTCCAAGGTGGAGTATGTCTAGGTGATTAACATTGTATCAAAAAAACAAGTAAAAATACATACAAAAGAAATCTCTAGTGATGACATAAAGCTACTAAAAAGCAAAATATAATAGGTAACAAAGCAACACATATCTATATACATAGCTACAGTACATCATGTCTCTATGAATGGGGTAAAGGTGAAACCCTCATTCAATCCTTTCTATCTTTACAGCTCTTTTTCTATCGTTGGTGTTTGAGTCCACTCCCCACATATACTTTTTTAGTGGTTATGGTGTAGTAAGTTTTTTTTTGCAATAGTCTCTTTTATTTGGGATCATACTTTTTAGTAGATACCCTCAATAAAGTTATTTTAAAGACATCATTTTGTAGCATAGTTCATTGTAGAACTTTCTCCTAAGTGCTCCTGTTGCTACTTTAGCCTGGGATCACAAACTTTTCTATTGTACCACAAGGAGGATTATTTTTGTATTTTATTCTTGCACAATTTAAACACCATAACCACTTCAGTCATTTGTAGCGGCCATGGCGAGTGGAGTCTTTATGTGCCATGTTTCGCTATGAAACACTGCACATACTGAGTTTAACCCCTTTGCTATTGGACATGTAACTCCACCTCCAGCGGCATCAATAGAACCCTATTAGTTATCTTGGAACAGGAGCTCTGGGCTGGTTAATGTCAGTTATGTGCATATTTCTATGTACAAAGCTGCATTAATTAGCTGAGATCTATCAGCTATTGCTCTGAGCCAATGAATGAGGGTTAGGACTTGCTCTGTACAAACTGGATGTCATAAACTTGCTTGTAAGGAGGTCAGGTGTCGAGTGGGGACCCAGGTTTCTCCCATTACTGTGGAACGGCTATACAGTATTCCTATCATCATAACGACTACAGCGGGCTATAGAGGTGGTTATGGTTGGAGTAACCGTTTAAGGCAACCTTTTCGTGTTAACATAAGCATTTCTCAAGCCTCTGAAAAACAAGCATATTTCACGGGAATTTTTTATTATTAATGCAGCCCGATAGTTAGGACTAAATAACAGATTAACAATGCTTTCTCAGACACATATCATAGCTTAATGCGGATGGGTAGTACATAAAAACTGTTGCCCTTTGTTCTATAGATTTAATAAATACTAATGGAATCTGTTCATGAATCGAATTAATGAATGGGAATTACAAAGGAACTGCCTTGATTACGTTTATTGTTTTTGCTCCTGCAGCATCGAATGCTACATACTGTAGGGCTACCCATCAACTTTATGGCATTATATGTGTCCATGAAAATATGGTGAATGTGATTATCCTAACTATAGGACTCTGTACAGGGGTATTTAGTATAGTGAACAATTGTCTGAAATTCAAAGTAAATTTAACATTTAAGGTCAAAATAGCTGAGCTAGAATCATGGCCGCCTCATTCAATAGGATACCTTGAGTACCAACAGCACAAGATTTCTGGAGTCCATTTTTGGTGCATAAAATGGGTGAGATTCATGTCATTTATAAGAAACTATAAATCACTGTGAAGTTTCACGCCTTAAGGACCAAACTTCTGGAATAAAAGGGAATCATGACATGTCACACATGTCATGTGTCCTTAAGGGATTAATCATTAAACTACAAACTGACAAGGGGATTGAAAACTTTAAGGTAAAACAACCAAACTATCAATGTTCTCCAGCCCTACCATTTTACATCTAGGCTATTTTATCGTACAGTCTGTGATTTCCTTGCCAGTTCCCAACAATTGACGGCTTAGTGAATAAACCCCGATTATCCGAGTCACACCTGTTACATACACATTAATACAGCCATTTTTAGCTGCTCCCATGAACCAGCAATTTGTGGCTGTTATACAAAGTATTAAGCCACACACACACAAATGAACAGCTTACGTTTTCCTTTCACATTCCTGTGGAGTAAGAAATGTATTGCTCAACTTATTTTAAATCAAAGTGTTTAACCACAAAAAATATTAGTACTATTTTCACCTTAATCCCTTGAACGCTGGAGGCTTATACAATGTATTGCTCTGAGATTAAAACCACTCACAGACACACGGGGCTGGATTCTCTTAACAGTGAGAGATGACTCTGCTTACCGAATAGCAATGTCTAAACCGAAATCTATTAGGGTTATTCACTAAAGCCCAAATGGCCATGTAACAAACGCTGTAAAACCATTCGGCTACATATGGCGCCATTCGGACTTCAAAGACGGGATATTGCTCATGCTATGTAACAATGCCTGGATATTGAAATTCAGGAATTGAATGGGCATCAATTTCAATGCTTAAAAGTAGGGCCTGGATTTAAAAAAAAATCTGATCTATTTGCCAACAGTCAGTGCTAGCAGCGAGTGGACAACTAGTTAAAAACCCCTCGGCGGCACGAGGGATAATCCTGTGTAAGTGAATATCCCTCGAGCCTATGGGGGAGGTTTTAAACTAGTGACCACTGCTGCTCAGTTGGTAAAAGGCTGCTAAAAAGGCCTTGTCCTCCTACCCTTGGGCATAGCGACAGACCCCTGACTTCTCCCCTACCCCCATTCCCACGTGTGGCCAGTGGGTTGGGGCTATTTAATAAGAGAATGGACAGAATTACTGTTATAACTATTACATTACTATACTAAAGGGGGGCATCCTAACGGGAGCTACTAAATGTATACTGGGGGGCCCCTATCCATGGGCAGCACGTTGGGGGGCTATTATAATATAACTGGGTAGCATGAACCTAGTCTCCCCACCCATTAGCGGCAAGTGGAAGCTCTCAATAGTTAAAGAAGGGGAGAACCAAGTATCCCCAGTTCCAACCCATTTGCAGGTGGGAGGTCTAAATAATTAAAGAAAGGGGATTGGATATGCCACTGCCCTCCACCTCCACCTCCCCCCTTAAAATATAGTAGCTCTACCCAGCACCCTCACCCTAATAATAGAGGGTGGGGTGCCATTAAAATGAATACCTATGAAAAATAAATGATACTCCCTATCTGCAGTTTTCTTTCTTCTGAATCTTCTTACCTTCACTCCCCCAAAAAAATGTACATAGAAATCCATAATTCCACGGCACAACACTTACATTTGAATTAATAAAAAATACAAAAATATCAAAAAACCCAACGTAAAAAATATTGTTACGTATTAAAACCACCCTAATAGTGATCGGTTTTTAATTTGTTTTTTAGTTCTTTTTTCTTTACATTAATGTAAGGATTTTCCAGCCGTCACATGATTAAGCCTCACATTGCCGAGGGTTTTTAACTTTGTCCCTCACACACGTCATGTCAAAGGCACTTTTATTGTAGTTGGAATTGCCATGGGCAGAGCTATCCCGGGACATTTCTAGTGACTTTGTGACCTTCTGACAGACATTAA